TTCTTTAAATTAAATTTTCTAAAAACTTCAATCAATTATCTGTCAGATGAGTTTAAATTGGCCTGTTAAAATTTCCAATTTGATTGAAATTGGACAGCATTTATTCGGATAGAAAACTTCAGAAGTCCTTGAATGTTAAAGGTTTTCACCATTGATAAATGTTGTACTAAATTTTATTTACATCCATGCATCTTGGTAACCGTCTTTGTATTCAGTCTTTCCTTTTCCATGCTTAGTTTTCTGATTTAGTGTGCTAATGAAGAATAAGATACAAAACTGACATTTGAAATGCTATTGTAAAGAGGAAATATTACTTAAGGCAGACTATGTATAAATTTTGTTGTATTTATAGCATCTGAATAGAAAGAAGATTCCAAAAATATTGTGCTTTGGTCATGCTACAAGGAGTAAATAGTTACTAAGTGGTTCAGTGTTAAAGTTCTCATTAGTTCATATTCAGTACATTAAGTGATGTCCTATCCTATATACATGTATTGATGTGGCAGTCCATCAAATCACTGTTTTTGATCCTGCTGCAAAGCGTGCAAGAGGTGTCTATTTTTTAACAGGTTTTTATTTCTTAACATTGATTGCTTTCAAGGTCTTTTACCATGGCTAATAATATCTAATGGTAGAGAACTAGCTGTGAAAAAGCAACTGAAAATTCCATTAATCATCCCGGCTGAATTTGATTAAAAGATTTTATAAATTCTGGGGGAAAATATGCTAACATGAATTAAAAGTGAAAAAGATGTAAATGTCATGATCATAAAATTTCTGGTAGTAAGTTGAAAAAAATCAATAATTTGAAGGCAGTCTCCCACTATGTTGTCAGGAAGATGCAAATGGTTTGATCTAATTGGCTAATCAAGTTGTCAAATCTGATTTCATTCAAAGCTTTGACATGTTGCTGTTCACTTGTGGGTTTTTCTTTGTATATATATATATAGTAAACTGATAACATTGTAATTTTCATAAAATTTACAAGATTCTACCTAAATGCCTAATGATTCTTTTTATTTGGTGTTGACCACAGAACATTGGGCTGTATGGACACATAATGGCACTGGGATCACTTGTTGTCTTGCATAGTCCTCTTTGTCTGTAATGTTGGCGTCAAATTTTGTTAATATGCAACAACTTGAAAACAGCTTGACAGTCCAACCAATTACATACAGATTTTTCTACTGGACAATAATTGTCAATGTATAATATCCTCTTCATTTGAACTCTTGTGGATAGTGGTCTCATTGGAAATCTTATCACATCTCCTTATTTTTATATGAAGTTCTGAACCTGCTTTTTTAATTTTTAGCTCACCTGGCCCAAGGGGCCAAGTGAGCTTTTCTCATCACTTGGCGTCCGTCGTCGTTAACTTTTACAAAAATCTTCTCCTCTGAAACTACTTGGCCAAATTAAACCAAACTTGGCCACAATCATCATTGGGGTATCTAGTTTAAAAAATGTGTCCGGTGACCCGGCGAAACAACCAAGATGGCTGCCATGGCTAAAAATAGAACATAGGGGTAAAATGTAGATTTTGGCTTATATCTCTGAAACCAAAGCATTTAGAGCAAATCTGACATGAGTAAAACTGATTATCAGGTCAAGATCTATCTGCCCTGAAATTTTCAGACCAATCAGGCAACACGTTGTTGGGTTGCTGCCCCTGAATTGGTAATTTTAAGAAAATTTTGCAGCTTTTGGTTATTATCTTGAATATTATTATAGATAGAGATCAACTGTAAACAGCAATAATGTACAGCAAAGGAGTTATTGCCCTTTATAGTCAATTTTTTACAATTTTTTCATAAATTTTGTAAATTTTTGTAAATTTTTTACAAAATATTTTCCACTGTAACTACTGGGCCAAGTTCATTATAGATAGAGATAATTGTAAGCAGCAAGAATGTTCAGTAAAGTAAGATCTACAAACACATCACCATCACCAAAACACAATTTTGTCATGAATCCATCTTTGTCCTTTGTTTAATATGCACATATACCAAGGTGAGCGACACAGGCTCTTTAGAGCCTCTAGTTTATTTCCTCACCTTTCCCTTGGTTTGTTTTCAAGGGGTATTTAATGTTATCCATCAAATTCAGAGAATTTTTTTATTTATTCTTACTAGAGAATGCTCAGCTATATTGTCGTTTTGGATTGGTGACAGTAAGCTCCCTTTCTAGTTTGATAATTTATATTAAGTTTTTTTTTCTGTACAATTTTTCACATGTTCAGAATAAATGCCTTTTAAAGTATTGCATTTGATACTTGCATTAACTTTAAAATGTAGACGTATGGTGTATCTTTAGCTCCTAGTGCAGCCGTTTATTATTTTTTTAAGATCTGTTGAAAGCTACAGTTGAATCTAAATAATGAACATGAAATAGACTGCCTTTAATACAGTTAAGCATAACTGACCAGTTTCATAATGATCATTGATGTGGAAATCTAATAAATACTGTCAAATCCTGTCATTGATATCAAATCTTATCGTATGAAATGATAAAGGCAAATTTTATTTAGTTCCATGATTTACACATTTTTCATTGAGGGGCATAAAGGGGGGTATCTGCACGGAAGTACACAAAATAAAATTGCCATTTCACGATGATTGAACAATTAAAAATTTCTTGCACGTTGATCTTTTAACGGATTTCATGAAACACGGTGAATAACGAACCTTTTTCACAGCTGCACGAAAATAACCCTTTACCATCCTCTTCATTAAAAACGACATGAAATGTGGGATAAACCAGAAGATTTGAGCATGTTTGTCAAGTGATGCTGATCTGTAATACGGTTACCAATATGAATATATTTACTGTGGCTGAAATTGAAAAATTGAAACCTGCATGAGATCTTTTTAAACAAATTTCACCTGATTTATATTTTCAGTGTGTATTGTATTTATGGGCTTTAAAGATCTTATATCCAAGCACATTTTTTCTGCTACGAGGAAATCATGAATGTAGGCACCTTACAGAATACTTCACATTTAAACAAGAATGTAAGTATGTACAGAAAAATGTTAGATTCATTCTAAATGTTTATCATAATACATTAGTATACATAATATTCATCTTGTGACAAATCAAATCGAATCATTTATCAACATGTATTTTAGTGAACTAATCAGGGTTCATATCACAAAGTTTTCTAGAGTATTGCATCAGTATAATACATTCCATGTTCTACTGGAAATGTAGACATTAGTTGTTAGCCAAAACTTTATGTGGAATATATATATTATTTAAGATTACAGATACACAAGTTGGCTATTATTCATTATCAAAAATCTTTCCTAAAACCACTGTGACAGCTGAAGTCAAATTTAGTCTGCAATTTTCTAAGGGAGTTAACTTTAATGTTATATCTGATGACCCTGTCAGCAATCCCACATGACTGCCATGGCTAAAAATAGCATGTATGCTAAGTAATTACATAATAAAAAAAATCTGATATAACTTGTGCATCAGACTTCGTGGAAATTATATCTTTGTGCCCCTGTTTATGAGTTATTCTTTGTGAACCTACCCACCTACAGACATGGCCTGAGAGAATAATCCTGTATTTTACATAAATGAATAAAAACATGACCCTGTTACCGGAGAAAAATATGTGATTGGTTTGCTTTAATTTAATTCACTAGAAAAGATGTATATATATTTGACAAAAAGAAATTTTATTCTGAAACAAAAATTCTGATTGGGAAAAAAAGTGAATAATGAATATCAAAGTTGGATATATTAGCCAGATAAGCAATTCAGGCTTTTGTGAGCCTCCTGTTGAAAATTTACTCATTTTCAATATGTGATTTTTCTGCAAAGTAAATTAAACATATTTCTTTGCATTAACAGTTGTATTGTTTACAGGAGTGAGATCATATTGCAGATTCAGCTAATCACATCACAGTGTAAAAATACATAGCTTTATTGAATTGATCAAGTGGATCTGAACTGGTTATAATTATAAGTGTTGACAATTGATGATCAGACATGACCTGTCTATATTTGATACATATTGATATAGTATCATAAAGAATTTAGTTTTACACTGTACAGCAAAACAAACATGTATTGATTTTGTCTCTCTGTTTAAATGTCAATTGTTCCAGGTGAAAAGAGTATTAATTACAACCACACACAAAATATATGTTATATGGAAGGTGTTAATAGATCTATTGATAATGCTGCATTCATTATATTGCAATAGGACTTCCATTGTTGATAACTTGTATAGAACTGGTCATGAAAAGCTACATACATAGGAATGTTTCAGGATAAGACATATAACTTGTAAACCTTCCAATTGTTCATATCAATGTCCCCAGCAGTATTGTGATTGAGAGAAATAGTTATGGAAGTAATCTGTCTGATTATCTATATGCTGGTTCAATTGTAAACATGTTTCTTTGGGAGGTTTCTTTTCATTACTTAATTGTTGTATATGTTTTATAGTAATTCATGTTGATTTGTCATTTATTCACCTTATCAGAATTTTATTTCAGCTTTAGACATAGGACTTGTTTTTTTAAAGGCAGTGCTTTAATGCCTTTCTAGTTGCCGGGTTAATCCTTCCTTCCGCGATATCCAACTTATCTACGTGGGGGGTCATTAGACTCTAAGTAGATCCGGAAATGTTGAATTCTCTCCTCTTCTTATTGCGATATAAAATGTTTTTTGTTTCATTTCATTTACATTGGGAAATAGAGAAACGATCATTGTGTTTTGTTAGTTTTAAAAACTTTTGATATATTAGTATTTTGCATTATAAGCAGTCAACCGATTGACAAACTAGAATTATTTGAATTCCGTGTGGAAAGAGCTCGGGTTAATTTCGAGTGTTATCTGCAATCTAGATGTTTATAAATCATTTCAGTCGTTGATATAATAATTAAAGGTCGACTGAACATGAATTATATTATACAATTTAAAAGCGCATTTCTGTTTATGCACGTGAACCCGTCTAACGTTATTTTCGCAGTTTATATAAAGTAGCAAATTATCGTTCCTGAATAGGTGGCGCCGTGGTAGCGGATCCTGTTCCTCTTCTTCCGGTTTCTGCACTGTGCAACTATTTCAGTTATATTTTTAATTAACGATGCCAAGTACTTGTTGTTGTGTACCTGGATGTCATTTAAGAGGAGGACATGCATTTCCAAATGACTTAAAAAGAAGGAAAAGTTGGATCAACGCCATGGCCCATACGCAGATTGGACGAGAACACGATGATATCATGGAGTCCATCTCAATCAGCTGTTGTTTGCAAGGCACGTTTTACTGAAAAATACTACGTGCAGGAAACTATTCATGGTAAAACTCTATTTTATTTGTGAAATATATAGTTATATATGTAATCGCCATGCGAATAAACCAAAGTCTGTTTACAACCGCAATTATCGTTTTAGAATAAAAGGGGTGGTAATTCAAGACGTCATAATTTTTTGGATTACGATTCAATGTGATCTGTTTGAGATTTTTTGGTGATTGCTACAATTATAATGATTTCTTACAAGAGGTATATCATACTGAGAATTATTTTAGCAGTAATTATGCTAATGTAGTAATGACAGGAATGCATAAGCTATGCCTCATAGTCATAGACTTTCTTGAAAAATATCAATGACAATGTTAACAGGAACAAAACAATGACATGCTCTCATCTATATTATAGTTATTTAGGTACAAACAATGTACGTTTGTTGCATAAGTCTCTCATTGTTTGTCCTTTGGATTTACATAACATACATTGAATCAGGCAAACATAGTTTTATCCAGATTGTAATGAATAAATCTAGTTAATATTTCGCCAGGTAGTACAAAGTATACATTGCTAATGGAAGTTCATTTAATTATAAAAAAATTAATGTTTTATAACCTTTTTCAGGGCGCAAACCCACCATACAGAGACTTAAGTCTACTGCAATTCCCAGCCTATTTTCCTGGACCAAGCAAGAGACTGAATCGTCCGCAAAAAGAAAAATCAGGGCAGTTTCCTGTGAAAACAAAAGAACTAAACTTGATGAATATTGTAGTAGAAATCTAGAGGAAAGTTTTGATTGTAAAGTTGGTTTTCCTGAAGAAGTCATTCATACTGCAGAAAGGATTTATGACTGTCCACCACCAACTGCCGAGCTAATGTTGAGCTTCACAGATGGAATTACGCAAACACCATCAATGCCTATGTTTTTAACAGAATTTTGAAATGAAGACACGTGACACAGCCATGCATTTTTATACCGGTTTAGAGTTGTATACTAAATTTTTATTTGTTTTGACCACACTTGGTCCAGCAGCACATTGTTTGAGATACATATATTTTCAAATTGATAGGGTGTCAGTTGAAAATCAGTTTTTTTATGACTTTGATGAAATTGAGGCATCATACAACCAACTTTGAACTGTCTAGATTCTAGATTGAATCTAGTGTTAAGAATATTGTGTATACATGGATTGTTTTTATGTCTAAACAGTGGTGTGAGGCTAACACTTGGCCATCTAGTGGTTTAGTCAGGTATTTTTCACCATCCAACTTCAAATTAAAGTTTCCTACGACTTGGATTATTATTGACAGCACAGAATATCCCGTGATAAAACCTAAAGCTCCTAGAGCTCAGGCAACCTTTTCATCAAATAATAACAGAAACACTGAAAATTCTTGAATGTTCGACACCTGGTGGTTTAGTCAACTATGTCTCTATGTCACATAGAGCGAATTATTGGACTTGGCAAAACATACAAAATTCTAATAAATCCTATGAATGGAACTGAAACAAAACTTTCATCTGAAATAACATTTAGTTGTTTTATGTTGTGTAATTTGGACTTGGCAAAACATACAAAATTCTAATAAATCCTATGAATGGAACTGAAACAAAACTTTCATCTGAAATAACATTTAGTTGTTTTATGTTGTGTAATTTTAGAACTTGTATTGTGCCAAAGGATGCATAAATAAAAGTGACGCAATGAATTTTGTTCTGATATATATATATTTACAATTACATGCACATGTAAATTGTAATGCATATAAAAATAAGGAGATGTGGTATGATATTCAGTGAGTTTATCAAACTAAAGTGCAAAAGAAATGGGTTTAAGCAGTTACAGGTGTTACTGTCACCGTACAATCTCGAACAATGAGAAAAACTCGTACCCTGTAAAAAATTTCAGAGATCTTACAACTAAGTTTTGTTGTCTCACCTTGACTTTGGTGAATTTTTTTATATCTGTTGATGTAAATATAAAAAAGAAGATGTGGTATGATTGCCAATGAGACAACTCTCCACACATGCACAAGAGACCAAATGACACAGAAATTAACAGCTATAGGTCACAGTACGGCCTTCAACAATGAGCAAAGCCCATACCGCACAGTCAGCTATAAAAGGCCCAGAAATGACAATGTAAAACAATTCAAACAAGAAAACTAACGGCCTATTTTATGTAAAAAAATGAACAAATATAACAAATATGCAACACATAAACAAACGACAACCACTGAATTACACTTTTATAGGCTTCTGACTTGGGACATGCACATACATGTACATACAGAATGTGGCGGGCTTAAACATGTTAGCCGGATCCCAACCCTCCCCCTAACCTGGGACAGTGGTGTAACAGTACAATATAAGAAAGAACTATAAAAATCAGTTGAAAGAGGCTAAACTCATCAGATGGATAAATACAAATACAAGTGGACGTGGTCGGGTAGTTGTACATCCAAACAACAAAAAGACACTAAGTACAAATCTGAGAGTACTCGCTGTTACTGACAGCTAGTTCAAAGCCACTAACAACTGATAAAAAAATCTTGCATCTAAGACTAAATTATCAATCCGTAAGCTCCCTTTAGAATTTTATAAATTTTAGATTTTACATTTCTGAGTTATGGGGTTTTATTCATTAAAAAAGGGGGGATTTTCCAGTTTTTGGACAACAACTCAAAAATGCTTTAAGCAGTTCACAGGAAACTTTGGTGAATTATTTATAGCTATTGATGTAATCTCCCTATTGATTTTCATAAATTTCAAATATGACATTGAGAAGAAATTGAACTTTATTTGTTTATAGTCTGGCAACAGATTTATTAAGTATTGCACAACAGCACAGTGTATTGCACAACAGCAAGAAATCTTTAATTGAATATAAATTCAATTCATATAACCGATTTCAAGTTCATTGACTACATTTATTCAGAAACTATAATATGTCAAATATTTAATTACAATCCAAATTCAGACCTGTATCAAGCTTGAATATTTTGTCCATTTTTGCCCCAGCTGTTCAGGGTAGTACCTCTGCGGGTGTATCCAGCTGCGCTCAGCGAATCAGTTTATTTCTCAATTAAGAACTCCTTTTTATACGACAGCAAAAAAATTTTTGGGGTCGTATATTGGTATGACGTTGGCGTCGTCGTCAGAAGACACATTAGTTTTCGCACTCTAACTTTAGTTTGAGTAAATGGATCTCAATGAAATTTTAAAATAAGGTTCAATACCACAAAAGGAAAGTGGGGATTGATTTTGGGGGTTATGGTACCAACAGTTAAGGAATTAGGGGCCAAAAAGGGGCCAAAAATAAGCATTTTTGTAACTTCCAGACATAACTTGTGTGTAAGTGTATGGATCTCTCTGACATTGTACCACAAGATTCCATATCACAAAGGGAATGCTGGGATTGATTTTTGGGGGTAATGGCCTCCAAATTTTAGGAATTAGGGGCAAAAAACAAGCATTTTTCTAGTTTCATGACAATAACTTGTGTGCAAGTCTATGGATCTCTCTGACATTGTATCACAAGGTTCCATATCACAAAAGGAATGCTGGGATTGAATTTGGGGGTAATTGCCTCCAAATTTTAGGAATTAGGGGCCAAAAAGGGGCAAAAAACAAGCATTTTTCTAGTTTCATGGCAATAACTTGTGTGTAAGTGTATGGATCTTTATGAAATTGTACTACAAGGTTCCATATCACAAAGGGAAAGCTGGAATTGAGTTTGGGGGTAATTGCCCAAAAAGTTTAGGAATAAGGGGCCAAAAATAAGCATTTTTCTAGTTTCCAGACAATAACTTGTGTTCAAGTGTATGGATCTCTCTGAAATTATACTGCAAGGTACCATACCACAAAGGGAATGCTGGGATTGATTTTGGGGGTAATTGCCTCCAAATTTTAGGAATTAGGGGCCAAAAAGGGGCAAAAAACAAGCATTTTTCTAGTTTCATGTCACTAACTTGTGTGTAAGTCTATGGATCTCTCTGACATTGTATCACATGGTTCCATATCACAAAGGGAATGCTGGGATTGATTTTGGGGGTAATTGCCTCCAAATTTTAGGAATTAGGGGCAAAAAACAAGCATTTTTCTAGTTTCATGGCAATAACTTGTGTGTAAGTGTATGGATCTTTATGAAATTGTACTACAAGGTTCCATATCACAAAGGGAAAGCTGGGTTTGAGTTTGGGGGTAATTGCCCTAAACGTTTAGGAATTTGGGACCAAAAAGGGGCAAAAAAACAAGCATTTTTCTAGTTTCCAGACAATAACATGTGTTCAAGTGTATGGATCTCTCTGAAATTGTACTGCAAGGTACCATACCACAAAGGGAAGGCTGGGATTGAGTTTTTGGGTGATGAATCATAAGGGGGTTCAAAAAATTTGGGGGGGGGGATTCTTTTTCCTTTTTTTTCTTTAAAATTTTCCATTTTAAATTGGTTATTTCTGATTTATATATAAAAGCAAATAATAATGATATGGTTTGAATAGGTAAATTAAGTTTTTTTAAGTATCTTAGACCACTTTCATTCTGTGTCAGAAACCTATGCTGTGTCAAATATTTAATTACAATCCAAATTCAGTGCTGAATCAAGCTTGAATGTTGTGTTCATACTTGCCCCAACTGTTCAGGGTTCGACCTCTGCGGTCATATCAAGCTGCGCCCCAGCGGAGCATTTTATTTCATTCATAAATTACTTTATGCTTGGAAATATAATTTTGCTTGGAGTTGAAAGAGTTGACATGTTGCAATATTAATGTACATTTACTCTACATAGTTCTATGGTACCAAATCAAAAGTTTATATAAAGAAAGAAGTCAAAGGTTTCCCATCATAGTTTAGTTACATACATTTTTTTTGTACCTGAGGTCGTTGAATATAGATCATTATATAAATAAGGAGATGTGTTATGATTGCCAATGAAAAAACTAAGGATTTTCTTATCCACGGAATAGATTACCTTAGCCGTATTTGGCACAACTTTTTGGAATTTTGGGTCCTCAATGCTCTTCAACTTTGTACTTGTTTGGCTTTGTTACTATTTTGATCTGAACGTCACTGATGAGTCTTATGTAGACGAAACACACGTCTGGCGTATTAAATTATAATCCTGGTACCTTTGATAACTAATTTGACTATAAACATAGATAAAAAAGGTACAAACTGGACATAATGCACTAGTTCATAAACAAGTGAGAACAATAGCCTTCATATAGTGCTCAGAATATGACATTCATAAAACTTATTCAATATCATTAGAGAACTCTAAATCTTAAATACTGAAAGCCACCTCTGATAAGTACACTGTACTATGCAAGATAATGATATAACTGGACTTAAAATACACACAACCTGTAATTAACTGCCTTTACAGCGCTTTCGTGCTTTGATTTTTTTTATGTAACAGAAATTCAAATTAAAGAACGCCTTGAGAGCTAAAATGAGTCTGGCAATACTGAAATACTTAAATAACATTAGCGGAGGGGGCATTAAGTTTTACCTTGCAAGTCCATACGTACGTCCTAAAGTTAGTTTCCGTTCTTTAACTTTAGTTTGCCTAAACCAAATTTTGGGGTGGTGTCATCTCGACCGTTCTAGAGTTATGCCCCTTTGCAAATGGAAAAATTGCAGAATTTTTCATTTCCATTCTCTATCTTTGCCTCAACCAAATTTTATGAAACTTGTACACAATGCTTATTACCACAAAATACAGATCAAGTTTCAATTTTGGTGGCATCACTTTAACCGTTCTAGAGTTATGCCCCTTTACAAATGGAAAAATTGCAGAATTTTCCGTTTCCATTCTCTATCTTTGCCTCAACCAAATTTTATGAAACTTGTACACAATGCTTATTACCACAAAATACAGATCAAGTTTCAATTTTGGTGGCATCACTTTAACCGTTCTAGAGTTATGCCCCTTTACAAATGGAAAAATTGCAGAATTTTTCGTTTCCATTCTCTATCTTTGCCTCAACCAAATTTTATGAAACTTGTACACAATGCTTATTACCACAAAATACAGATCAAGTTTCAATTTTGGTGGCGTCACTTTAACCGTTCTAGAGTTATGCCCCTTTACAAATGGAAAAATTGCTGATTTTTTTGTTTCAGTTCTTTAACTTAAGTTATCCTCAACCAAATGTTATGAAACTTATACACAATGCTTATTACCACAAAATACAGATCAAGTTTGAACTTTGGGGTTGTCACTTTTATTGTTCTAGAGTTATGCGCCATTACAAACGGAAAAATTGCTGAATTTTTAGTTTCCGTTCTTTAACTTAAGTTTGCCTCAACAAAATTTTATGAAACTTATACACAATACTTATTACCACAAAACTCAAGATCAAGTACAAATTTGGGTAGCTTCACTTTTACCGTTCTTCAATTATGTCCCTTTATAACTTTATATGATATGCAAGCGGGGGCATCATCTGTGTCCCATGGACACATTCCCCATTTATTTTTTATTGATTTTTAACCAAATTTTCGAAGGAAAAATCAGTTATTGATTTGGGGATGTATGGCGGGCGGCTGCCAAACAGTGTCCGTTCATTAACATGAAAACACTGTGACAAAATCTTTTCAAATTTAGATATGTTGTTTCCTGTGACTAAATGAAGGTCAATTTCAATTTTCACGATTTTAGCTTTTCTCATTGTTGAGTTGTAGACCTTTCAGTAGCAAAAAGTGA